TATAGTTCTTTATGTTTCCTTCATAAAAACTTAAAATACATCTTCAATATGAAATTACAGCATGTTTTAGCTACTAATCAAATCTGAAAATTTAGTTTACACGCATCCTTTGCAAATTTAACAACCCATACTTGTAATAATGGAATAATAGCTTAAATATACATGTAGAAACATTAAAACCTATTATTTTATACCAAAACAATAAAATTCAGATTACAAAAATCTGAAAATTTAATTTAAACTTCAAACTTGATACTTAAAAAAAAATTATTAACATACATTAATCATAATGGTCATGTAGTGTATTGGAAACTCTAGGAAATATGATTTAAAATGCTTTAAATCCCCAAATATTTATTTTTAATAATCTGAATATTTATTTATCACATTAAACCTTCGTTAAAAATCTAAAATGCTTGAAAACCATATTTAGAGGCTGAATTTGGCCACGAGAGGGTGGTGATCACTACCAAAGGTAATGAGGTTTGATTAAAACGTCGTTTACACACGAAAAACACTATTTTTTTTTTGCAAAAATCGGATGAGTTAAAAACTAAACGTGATTAAGAGAAATTAAGAACGGAAATCAGAAATTGATTACGAAAAACTGAAAACTTGTTTTTGAATTAAACATCATCATGATCATAGTAGAATCACAACATAATCATGCTTTAATTGAATAACTTTAGCAACACGTTTTTGAACCTTAAAACCATGTGAATCAAGCTTTAAACCCTAATTTTCTTAACTAAACAAATCTGAAATTTTAATGCATAATTTAAACATGATAAAACTTATAAATTTATAATCTTTTGGGATAATTAAACATCATTAACCCATAAAAATAACAATTCAAAACAAAACTTAATCAAGATTATAACTTGAAAGAAGGAAGGAGAGAGAAGAGGGCGAATTGGTGGTCGTGGGGTGTTGCGGGTGACGCTGTGGTAGCCCGACAGCGGCGGACAGGTGGTGGTGGTGCTCGGCAGCAGCGTGTTCAACAACTTTCTCTCTCTCTCTCTCTCTCTCTCTTTTTTTTTTTAGGTTGAAGCCTGAGTAATGAGAAGAAGAAGAATAGGCAGTAGCAGCAATTCAACGTGGGATTTGGGAGTGAGAAAGTGGAAAATTTTAGATGGGTTTAACTAATAAGAAGTGGGGTTTTTGGGTTTCCCTAATTCTAATAAAACTAGAATTAAAACTTGGGCTTAAAGTGAGTGGGATTTAGGTGAAAGGATGGGCTTAGTAATTTATGGGTTGGACTTGCATATTAATGCATGATTAAAATATGGGTAGGGAAATAATTTAATGAAATAATTTTATTAGCTTTATAAACATTAAATTTATTTGCTTAAATCATAGTAAAATAGATTATGTAAATAAATAACCATAATTAAATATTCATAAAAATATGTTAAAATATAATTTTAAATTTCACAAAATTACTGGGGATTAAACAATTGGTATTTAGATTATACCATTTAAATACAATTTAATACCAATACTGTGCTATTAGAGTCATTCATTATTCAAATTATTAGAGCCACAAAAATCTTCTATTTCACCGTTCATTATAAAACGTCAATATTTTTGGGGAAAGAAAGTTTCTCTCAAGCTAAGTCAACTAAGAATGTAAGCACTTCTAGAATGAGTATCTTCCTAAAGTCGCATAAAATATGTAAAAACATATTGGATGGATTGTTGAGATTTGACATTCAAAGCACACCAAATTAATTATATGATGATAAAACAAACATTTCTGGAATATAGTGAAGGTTCTTAGAAACTAGAATGCTCAATTAATGATCCCTACTTAATTGTTGTACTACATAAAATAATACTACTAAAATTCCACTGAAGACTAATCATAAGTGTTACTTAAGCTATGACCTCAGCTTATACCCACAGCACTTCTGGAAGTGCTTTTCACATATTGTGTCCAAGTTCACACACTTTGAGTTTTCACAATTTTTAGTTGAACCGAATTTCATTTAACGATAGACTAACTTTAATTTCTTCAATTCCTTTGTACTATAGTATAAGTTAGTCACACTTTAATTTCCTGTTACATTTAGTATGGTGGACTACTTCGCCTAGTTTTCCTTCTTTTTCTTTTGCAAATTATTTTTATAAGTTACATACTTATAAGTTATAATACTCTCGTAAGATTGAATAAATAAACTTGTTACTCCCTTCGTCTCATATTATAATTCCTATTTTTCTATTTTGAATATCCAAAATGTTGTTCCTGTTTTCATTTTTGGATAATATGTAAAGACCATTATATTTTCATTTTTTTTTAATTTTATTCATTGAACTTCCTAATTTACCCTTAAATTATCCACTTGTCTTGTACTTTTTTCCACTTTCTCTCTCTAACTTTTGTCTATAATTGTACTTTTCACTTTTTTTTCCCTTAAATTATCCACTTGCCTTGTACTTTTGTCTAACTTTGTCCACTTTAATGTAATTCATCCACTTTCTCCTCCCATTTCTTAAATATCGTGAAAAAATACAAACAGGAACTATATATTAGAATGGAGGAAGTACAATACTTTCATATAAATAAACTTGTTACAATACTTTCATTCTTATGTTTTATTAAACGTGTCTCAATATTAGGGGTAAAGATAAGAATAAATATTATCGAAGCTAAGAGGTTATTGATTAATTTCTTGCATGTATCAAAAAAATTTCAAAGCCAAAGTTTTTTCACTGTGTATTAGCATTACAGCGTAATAGGGGCCAGGGCCCTGGCCCTGCCAACCACCCCCGGCTTCGCCCCTGCCCATCATTCACACACTCCGTCATTGATTGTCTCCTGAATATTAATTAGTATATATCTATATTTATTGTACATAAATTTTTTAAAAAAAGAATAATAGTATGTAGACATCTAAAAATGTCTCCCCAAAATCAAATCCGATGATGAACAATCTTTCACCGCCATTATTGACCGGGTCAAGTATTTAATCTCGGGATTGCTTAAAGTCCATATTTAATCCAATACATTCAACAAATCAGTCAACTGATCAGTCCAAGTATTTAGTCAAAGCATAGTCCAACCCTTATTTCAGCCGAAACCTTTTTAATCGATTTCATTTCATTTATTAATTAAGCCCGATTAATAAATATTAAAAAACCTAAACCTAATTAAGCCCGGAACACTGAAACGACGCCTAAATTATTCCTTACTTAATGTTAAATAAAAAGATAAAGATGAATTTAGACGAAATTCTAGAAGGTTATTTTTCTTCGTGGCGCTTCATTTCTAGGGTTCCAGACCTCACCCCTTTCATTTCCTCTATAAATAGGAGGTTGATTTCTCAGTTTCGGGGCACCAATAATAACACTCTCTCTCTCTCTCTCTCTCTCTCTCTCTCTCTCTCTCTCTCTCTCTTATACTCTAGCCTAAATACTTGCCTTCCTTATTCCTTCACAATACATCCCCTAAGCATTCCCCAGAGTCCGTACTTTACCCAAAATTCTATACTTAAACCAATGCGTGAAAGGTAGAACTGATTGAGGGTTTGGCCCCAAATCAACTTTACTTTCATTTGATTTAATTTCTATTTTTATTGTTTATTATTCTTTGAAGTTACTAACGCGTTTATTGTTTTATAGTTGCCAGCAAAAGCAATCAAAGTAAGGAATCATGGTCTTTTTGTTCCTGTTATATTTCTAACGGTTTTGTTATGTTTTTCATATACTAATTATTGTTACTATGGCTAAATTGCTTCTAATGTTATTGATGATTTTATTATATTTATTATTCATCATTTTGCATGTTTAAAGGGAATATGTAATTGAATATAATGCCTTATAAGATAATTTGGATGACTGTTTTAGGATCCTTTTTAATCTTGTTGTTAATCTAAGTGATCATGTTTAGAATTATATGTTGCATTAACATTCAACCAATTTAGTCTAATATTTGTTTATTGGAGCAAATTGAATCTTTGTTTGTATGCCTTTGAGATCGCATAAATCACTTTTCACCATAAGAATCGAGTAGAGGCAAAACGAGCGAATGTGACTCCATAACTCACTTCGTACCATCATCCCTGATCCTCCTTTCGTGGTTCCGAACCATATGGAGTTAGTAATCACATGGATTATGAATGGGGTGTAACCTTCACTGGTCAATCGTTGTTGTCTTTCATTGTCCCTTATTCGTGGTTGCCTTAAATGATCCGTGAACGGTTTATAAGTTCCTTAAAAACTTGTTGGCGGCTCCCTACTTTGCTTTGTCCCTAATCGTGAATTCCCACTTCTTATGAGTGCCAAGTATATTCACAACATGCTTAAGTAGGTGCGCTTCGAATGACGCCTACATAGTAGTATTCATAAGGTACCAAAGGTGTCTAAAATTGACCCAATCCGAAATTACTAGACCTAACCCAAAGTGACCCGAATTATTATTTTATTATAGACACAATAATTAACCATGACATAAAGCTGAAATAACTCATGAACCCTACTAATTCCTATTCAAACCTTATCCTATCCAAACTCAACCGATGACCCAAATTGACACTTATTCATAATGGCAGAAGAAGTTAACTTCCAATTAAGGTTTCTTAGCTTATTCTCTCAATCAATAAATAAAATTTCATTTTCACATTTGGGTGGATCCAATAATATACTAAATCATTTTTTTATTCACTTTTAATCGATGTATCTTATTATCTTACTACAGAGTATATTTTCTCACTTCCCTTAAAACTTACCAATTAATTATTTTCGTTGTCTTTATTCATTCAAGTTTAATGATAGAGTATTACAAAACTGATCTTAAATTTCTATCATAAGGTTAACTATGAGTTGAATTGATCTGGCACTTTAATATAGTGTCAAAAATACTCAAAAATTAAATCTTAAGATTCATCCGTTAACACAGTTACTCTTCTAACTACTCGTACCCATGATAAACAAGGTCTTATAGATGGACGAAGTAAATTGTTTGATGATTACTTAAGAAACTGTAAATTAATTACAGAAAATATTAAAACCATGTGACAAAATGTCCATAGAATAATACATACATGCACTTAAATTAAGAAGTGAACATGTGTCAAACTTGAATAAGAATGCAATTTGCGATGTTTGAAAATTTTGAAGCACACGTTTGTTACTTTACCTAACTTTAAACTACTCCAAGTAACGTATGTTGTCTAATCTAATCCAATTAATTACTTTTTCCATTATTCAAACAAGTCAAAGCTGCCCAATCAATGAAAAGTCAAACTAAAAACAAGCCGACCTCAAAATTCCTTTATAAATACTCTTTTAACGTGTCTCAACTTACATCATAAATCATACCCATAAAAATAACATCCCCAAAAAAAAAAAAAAAAAAAGTTATCACCCCAAAAACAAATACATTCACATAATCACAAAAATGGCTATTAAGAGAAGTAGAGAAGAGATAGAGCTAGAGAGGACCATAGCAATGGCTAACTACTTAATCCTCCTATCCCGACCTCAGAACACGGTCTCACTCGAGCCGAGTACCGGTGGCCGGATTTACGAGTGCAAGACGTGTAACCGGCAATTCCCGTCCTTCCAAGCATTGGGTGGACACCGGGCTAGCCACAAGAAACCTAGGCTACTAAATAATGAAGGTGAACAACATCAAAGCGACGTAAGAAAGGCGAAAATACATGAATGCTCAATATGTGGGTTGGAATTTCCCATTGGACAAGCGTTGGGAGGTCACATGAGACGTCATAGAGCTGCCCTTGCTAGATCACAACATCAACTTACTTTTAAAGACTCTCCTACGCTTTCGCTTTCGCTTTCGCTTAATGGTTCTTCATCACACGATGTTTTGGAGTTATCTGGTGTGAGCAAGAGCAAGAGTAGTAGTGAGGATCATGATCAGAGAAGAGTTATTTGCTTAGATTTGAATTTGACTCCATTGGAGAATGGTTTGTTAGAGTTTGGAACGTTTGTTCCTGTTGTTTGTTGATTTTTTTATTTTTTATTTTTTTACTTTTGAATATCTTAGGTTGACATTCGTTTTATCTTTGTAAAGTAGTTTAATATTCTTTCATTAATTTGTTATATATGTGTATATAGTGCTATACTATGTACTTGATCTAAATTAATACATCTTCTTTGTTCTTTTAATATTGCATCCTTGTCTTTTAAGAAAGTCTCATAAATATTGAATTATACACATTTTCAAAAAACTGATTTGATTATCAAGATATTATTGTTTACAATGTACATATCCAATACATCCTTACTTGTTAACATTTATTTTTATTTTTTAGTTTATGGCTTTATGCTTATGATCACGGGCAATTTTATATTTTCTTTACTTTGATGCATTGTTAATAGAACAGAGAAAATAGATGATATTAGATTGTCTGAATGCATATGGCATGCTCATTTGCACGGATAATGAGAATATGTAGATCTCTGGATCTCGGAAATTGGGAGAAAAGCTCTAACCAATGTAATTGAGCTATATATACATATAATTAAAATGTATATCTATATTTTCTTAAAAGTAATCTACTACCTCCGGTTCGTATTATATGCAAATTTGGTGTAATATCTGTGAGATATAAAAAATTCCAAAATTACATATAATACAAATTAGAGGTAGTCTATCTATAATATTTGGCATGTTATCCTGTTATTTGATGTGTATTAATATAGGTTAATTATGGGTATTGAGACATTTCTAAATAATTTGTGGTTGATGAAAAGATATTTTGTCAATTGAAGTTGAAACCGACGAAAATTATTTCTTCAGAAAGCTCGTGTTTATCCTATTTGAAGACCAAGTTTGTAGCATGGAATACAGTGGACAACTAGAAGTTTGACTTATATACCAACTACCATGACGATGATACTGACGAAACTAACCATCCCTTACGATATTGCTGACGAAACATAAACTGTAATTAAGATATAAAACAATAATACGAAGTGTAGTTATAAGACAATCGGCTAATTTACAAGTCCGATTACCAAGTACTCTGTGGTCATTACCAAGCAAGGCGTAGTATAGCACTACCTTCGTCTCTAAATATAGTTTTCGTTAGGCAAAAAACACGAGATTTAAGAAAATGAGAGGATGAAGTATATATTCTACATAAAAAAGAGAGTAAACTACTTCAAGAAGTGTGGATGGACTATAAAAAATAAGTACTCCATGCATAAAAAGCAATAAAGTACATGCACATGAGTGATGGCACAAATTTAGAAAAAATATGAGGGTTTATATACTATTATATACCAAAATAAGTAATCCTATATAGACTGTAGTGGGCTTCAAATACTTAATATCCATCTGCTTATTGTGATTTTAGATTCTTATAATCTTGTTACTTTATCACGAGGTGGTGCTTGTGGTGACATTAATATCCTTTTATTTGTAAGAAAGATTCAATCATAGGGTCAACCTTTCAAAAATGCATTATTTACAAGGGTAGATAGACAGCGAGTTCACAGGGCTCATTAGATTGAAAGAGAAGCTGCAACTCATTTTATTTGCTTTAATAATGTGTAGTTTGTAATTTATTTTGTGTTTCTTTTCAACTTTTGTCCAAAAAAAAAAAAAAAGAAAAAAAAATTATAAAGGGACTGGCCTATCCTGCTAATTTTTACTAGATTGACTGTAATTCCATGTGAATAAAGAGTGTTCTTACAACCCATAATAATAATAATAAGAAGAAGATGTTCCTTTCCCCAAAAAAAAAAAAAAAAAAGGTTGTCTTGTCTTTTGGCCACCAAAAGTTAGCAACTGAATTACCTAGTAATTATCCAAATAAACACGACCGATTATAGCAAGACACAGTCATTTCTTGTCAAAATAATACAAGTAATTACGTTCTAGATGTTTTCGTCTAGTATGGACTATGGAGTATGCCCAGTATGGAGTTATGGACGTCAGTAATTAGCTCATAGTGGAAAGAAAATTAATTGTACATAGTACAAGTCAAGAATCAAGAAAAGAAAATTATAAAAGATAAGGAACTAAGCTTAAACTACAAATCTAGGGAATTTTCTTAAGTTCGTAATTTAGAGAGCAAATAGTCTGGCTCTTTATGTCACTTACAAGTAATAATTTTGTCATATTTATACTATTTTCTTTATTATTTGAAAAATTTAGTACGTACCCCGGCCCTTTAATTGTTCTCTCCTTATTGCTCTAGAGACTGTGATTTTCGAGGTTTTTATTTTTAAGGTACGATACGGGTTGGAGGGTGCCCCTCCTATCACAGGAGGGATAGGGGAAGATCGAACCCAGGTCAATCCTGGGGAGATGGAGGGACAAACCGCCCCTCGAATCCTCCACTCCATGATCCTAAAAAAAAAAACAGGAATCAAGTTAGTATAGCAGATGGTTATACATATAGACAAATTAGTTTGTGCCCGAGCGATATCCCGAATTGTTGATTGATTTCTATACCTTTATTTCTAAATAATTGACAAAGTCAAACTTGACACACATGTTAATGCACTAGTTTGACATTAACTATATACGATTATATATTAGTAAAAAATATAAAAAAAGTTGATATTGTTTAGGGTAAAAGTTACCCTGGACACGTGGCCCTATGGGGATCTGACACGTGTCATCCCCCCATTGCACCATGGGCATCCAACCAATGGATGCCACGTGGCATCGTACCCCCAATGGGGGAGCAGGCCCATCTGCTATAAATAGTGGAATCTATCTCATTTATTGACATTCAGAAATATACCCACAAAATCCGAGCAATATTAATTGCGGAATCTCCCGGAACCCGAGAGAACCAATTTACCTTCTGCACGTAATTTCATCCGAAGTTATTCTAACTTGACCGTCGGAGGCGAAACTCCACCCAACCGGAGTTTCGTGGTTTTGCAGGTACATAAGTCAGGCGTACATTCCCGGTGCTGTAACTCTCCCGTAGGACACCTCAAAAACCCCCGAAACATTTGGCGCCGTCTGTGGGGAGAGTACCACTTGGATGACATCTGAAATTGTACCAAACGTAGAGGGCAGCCGGCCCACGGCTAATCCTGAGGTCCACACAGATCATGACAGCGGAAGTGGGGACGACTACAATGTCGAAACCTATATGGCCCCAGACGGGTCTTTCCGCTCCAGACGCACTCGTTCCAAAGAAAAGAGGGAACGAGGTCAAGAGAAGGATTGCCCCAACAATCCAGGCGGCAAGCATACCGGACAGACCCAGGCGGCGGAGGGGTCGGCCCCCGTCACTAGAGATGAGCTCATGAACCTCATGAGTAGCTTCAAAGGGGAAATCACCAACATCATCAAAAAGTCAGCTGGTTCCGGCAAGGGCCAGCCAGCCAAAAGGGCTTCAGTAAAGAAGCCCACCAAAGACCGGGTGCCTACTCCTCACCCAAAGCCTAGAGGGGGGGATGGGCCCCTAATTGACCTCTCAAAGATTCGTTTCCCCGAATCGGGGCAGCGAAAAGCCATCCGACAAATACAGCCGGATGGTACAAAAAAGACTTTCACAGATGCCCGACTGTTTATCGAGGATAAGAGAGGTCAGAGTATGTGCCAGACGGCTTCAAAGTCGACATACCCAGACAGCTTCTGTAATTCTTCGATTAAGCATTCTGAAACTCACCCATGGAGCCACACGCACGGCACGTCCGTCCGTACTGCTCGTCATGTGATCCACCAGGCTCCATTTGTGCCTCAGAAGCCATATGGAGCTGGATCACCATACATGCAGCATTCTCCTTTTGGGAGAATGGCGACAAATACCGTCTAGCCCATGGACTGGCAGCTCAGGCTGCTAAACCTAGGGGAACAGCCTCCGGCTTTCTCCCGTGAAATAACCGAGGCGGCATAGCCGGCTAAGGTTAAGAATGTGTTGGTTGGTACCTACGATGGCACCACCAACCCAGAGGACCATTTGATGGCGTACACCAACCTCATGTACCTACAGGGGTTGGACGACGCCGCCTGGTGTCGATGTTTCCCAGCAACACTAAAGGGCATAGCTCAACGGTGGTTCGGCAACTTGCCGGCTGGGTGCATCAATAACTTCAAGACGCTTGCATATTTGTTCGCGTCCAACTTCTCCATGAATATCCCGGCCAAGAAAACCAGCCTCGACCTAGGGGCGATCCGGCAGGGTGACAAGGAGGGACTTCGGTCCTACGTTAGGCGGTTCAATCTGATGAGAATTCAGATACAAGGACAGTCTGACGAAGTTGCGTACACATACTTCTTCAAGGGTCTGAAAGATGGGTCAACATTCAAGTTCGACCTAGTTCGCAAGAGGGTCGGTACCCTCCAGGAGGCCCTAATGGAGGCTGAAGCCTATATACAGGCGACGGAGCTGTGTGCCGTCAAGCATACGTCAGAACCCAGGCGGTCTGACGTAAAAGAGAGCCGGTTCCAACAGCCGACCAGAAAGGAAGAAAAGAAAAGAAAAGAAGTCTGGGCAGCTGACCGCCCAGGTCAGTCATCCCAGAAGAAGAAAAAGAAGTTGGAACCGTACGTCCCCAAGTACGAGTTCAACAAGGATTGCTCCTCCATCCTCATGGAGATAAAAAACCGCTTGACTATTGAGAAGCCGGCTCCTCTAAAGAGCGCTGTCAAGAATCGGGATAAGAGCAAGTATTACCAATTCCATGAGGACATTGGCCATGACACCAATGGCTGCTATAGCCTCAGGCGGCTATTGGACCGGTTGGCCAATGAGGGGGCTTTGAAGTCCTACCTGACAAATTCCAAGGGTAACCCTGCAAATGGTGGGCAGTCGTCCAAGAAGACAGTGGTGAGCTCTGACACAGATGAAGAGCACATCTACACCATTGCAGGCGGCTTCGCTAGTGGTGGCCCCACCATTCGGGGTGCCAAGGACAACATCAGGAAGTTTTCCGCCTCAGAGGACGAAGGACAGGCGTCGAAAGACGTCTTCCCGGAAGTCTTCATCTCTGAGAAAGACAGGGGTACGGTCAGGCGGCCCCACGATGACCCCATTGTCATCGAATGTAAAGTTGCCAATCAACGAGTTGGCCGGATCCTAATCGATACCGGGAGCTCGTCTGATCTAATAAGTTATTGCTGCCTGGCGAAGCTGAAATACAAGCCCAGCAGTATGCACAAGGCCCCTCACCCCCTAGTCGGCTTTGGAGGTGGGGTAGTGCATCCGGTAGGTAGGATAGACCTGCCCATCCGGCTGGGAGGCAAAGGGGAAGGGCGACACATGGTCGTCAAGTTTTTGGTAGTCGAAGAGCTGACTGCCTACAACCTCATATTGGGACGTCCAACTCTCAATGAGTCTAAGGCGGTAATCATCCCTTCTCTCATGCTGATTAAGTTCGAGAGGGATGATGGGTCAGTAGGCTCCCTAAGCGGGGATCAAAAGGCGGCTAGAGAGTGCTATCTCTCAGACTTTAGGCCGACTGCCCATGCAGCCGGCCCCCGCGAGGAACCTACTAACCTCGAAGACAAAGAAGCCGGGCCTATCCCTAAGGCAGGCGGTACCAAGAGAAAGGC